ACAGAAAAAGTAATAAACATACGCTCTTGAAATTTAAAACAGAGAAATTTTAAAATATCTTCAATATTCTTATTATGTTTTCTTGTGAATCCATTGTTTACGTCATATTTTGTAGTACTCTATCAAAATAGTAAAATTTGCTAATTTTTCGCATTTTGAGATGCCCCCTTTATTAACAAGACGGTAGAATTTTGTGTTTCTTACATATATTGTGTCATATAGTATTACTCATAAAATGTTATAGTTAGAACAAAATGTCTATTGTAGTATTTGTATAATTTGCTTCAAAGTGCTAAAAATTGGAATTTTCCTATATAACCCTATAGTAAATGTACCAGTATTTTGAGACGGTCCCTCAAAAATACCTGGACGGTAGATTTACCCCAAACTTTGCATGTACACTGAAGATAATGTAAGTCATATATAGTATAAAAATAAAGAGTTTCGCTATTGTAGTTTTCACACAATAAAACTATAGTCGGCCCCCTTAAGTAATATGTCATCAACCCCGGAAACAAACTAGACAATACAAATGTATATATACTCCTGATATATGTATTCTATTTAATATTTAAGAAGCCATAATATAAATTGAAGTATATCCTGCTGATCAAAAATCCAATGATTATTTAGATTTCCCTCTAATATATATAATACTCTTTATTGCATTGTAATTTAATCAAATGACTCATTTGTTATAAATATATTTAACGATTTCTTGATGGTAAAATCGTAATAAAGGGGAGTAATCAAATGTTGAACCCGCTTTTGATTGGTTAATCTGGATCTTGAATATCGAAACTCGAAATTTGAATCTCGAATTTCGAATACTAGTATCTTATTTCGAATCTCGAATTTCGTATTTCGAACCTCGAATCACGAATGAGCCTTCTGGGCTTTCGTATTATATATTCGTAGACATCCATGATATTATACAAAAACTGATGACAGAACATCAAAAGAAAAATACTAACAATCTAACTATCCATAAACATTATCTGCGCCGATAATATAACTCATATGCACCGATATTTACATGTATTTATATCGTAATATGTCAATTTTAGAGGTATTATTCATCGAAAAAATGAACTTTGTAATTAAGACCTAAATCAACCTAGATGTTGATTCGATACGCAAAGGCATGCACTACTTATGTACAGTTTCTAAGTTGAAGAAACAAGAATATTAGTAGTCTTGTTCAACGTCAACATTTCGTACGTTCTATATGTACAGTGTATGGTCGTTACATGACCTTGTCAGCAAATAAAATCTATCATTGAGTCAAATGCTGACTGACGTTTTAAATACTATTTGTTAGTCCATTATTTACACACTGAATTGACCGTGGATTTTCCTGTTATTTTCCGATCATGACAAGGAACACGCGGCGGAAATGCTCACTCCTCCGTGGCATCCCACCTCTGGTGTTTTGGAGGTTCTAGTTGGCTCTGCTCCTTTTTTGTATTGTTTTATTGACATTTATTGACCTTTGAGCTTGAATATTGTTCGTCATCTCTATATATTTCATAAAGAAGAATTTAGGGTTAACAAAATATATGGATACTACATGCAGCATAGTGTGAAATCACTTATTTTAGTGGAAGCTTAATTTTCGTTGTTTTCAAAGTATGGAGAGACCCATGAATTTATGACCACCACAAAATGTAAATTTCTATGTGTACTATTACTCAACTCCTCTACATCCACGACATCAAATCCCCACATATCAATAATTTCTTCTCCAACCTCGAAAATTTGCCTCTAAAAAAATATGTGATTTAACAGTATATAAATTTGGGAGATTTTATGATCATCACTCTTTTTTTAAGAATGTATCTTCCATACTCGAGTGTCCTTTTTTGTTTCTTCTTTTTAAGCTTTGGAATGTTGCATAATATTATGAAATGTATGTCCTTCGTGTTTGTCCGAAACACAAAAGCAGCAAACAGGAATGTCACATTTCTCAAATGTAACTCACAGTGCTTCTTTGGATGTGTGAAACATTTCGGGTAACTTGGAGTAGTTCCCCTCTGGTGTAATGGTACCATTTTATGTTCTTCAGATAAATCAGAGAGATGCTCCCTTACACAGACCTTACATAGATTGACATGACAAAAGTCAGAGTGCATTTGAGGATGTAAAAATTACAACAGCGATCGATAAAAAAAAAATCAACAACCCCAAAACCAGCAAACAATTAAAATAAATATATAAAGAGGGCATTAAAACCGATCCCTGCAAATTCCAAAGCTAGGATCAGGTGCCTGGGAGGAGGAAGCCTCCCTCGTTGAGCAGTTGCATTGCCACATGCCCTATGTATAGATCAGGAAGAGGGAACATAAATCACCATAAAACAAATATCTTAACAATTTGTTTGAAAAATGTCATCTAACATTCGACCCAATGACAGGATATATCTAGTAGACATCTGTCAGCAGACTCCTTCGGTTTCAAGTACCAATATAATTAACCTGGAGATCGTAACATAAAAAGTTTGATGTCACAGATAATCCAATTTTTATACCTTCTTGAATTCATTGTTAACATGGAACGTGATCAATCATTTTATATAATTATGCAAAAATAAATAAAAATAGGTTTAAATCAACCGTATCTATTAAAGTTTCAATTCCAACATGGAGGAATATTCCATCCGTTCAAATATATTTTAATCTTTCTGGTCTATTCTTTTTCACGATTTATATTGGGAAATGGTGTTTAATTGTTTGATCTTTAAAGATAATTTTGATTGATTTAAATGGTCATATGCGTTCAGAATTTAATTGACAGATTGAATGCTAAGAGCTTTGCTCAGTCATACCGTAAATCTGGAAATTTTTACGTCGATTTTATTTGTGAATCTGGGTCAAAATGCTATTGATTAATTAATACGTTTCAAAATTTTGCGAATGGCCACTACTTTGTTTACATTTTCTTATTGTTATGATATTGAATTACTTTTAAGAAAAATATTTTTGCGAATGCAATGAATTCGCAAATTTGCTAAAAATTTATCTACAGCAAAAATTTCCAGATTTACGGTATACACCTAAGCGGTACCTGAGGGACCAGCTTGATCCTGGTGGAACCAAGAGCAAATTTTGGGGCCTACCCCTGGGGGTGATATCCTCATGGTATACAGGGTGTGAGGCAGGTCGAGTTAGGGCCTGAATCAGAATTTGAATTCATTCATTCCATATGGCATTCACTCTTGTTGGTACCAAGAGGTCTGTTCCTACCACAGTCACCTGTGGGGGCGCTATCGCCCAAGTTTAGTAGGGAGGTCATCCCGGTAGACAGGTAGTGATTCTCGGGATTCCGCCGGGATATTTACATCTAAGTATAAATAGATTGTGACAAATACTTGCCACATGTAATCATTTTTTTTTTTTACAATAAATGTGATTAAATTTAATATCGGTCTTTATTCATTGCATCTGGGATTAATCATTAATGAATGTGATCTACCAAAGCTGATTATAAAGAAATAAACGTAACCAAACCTAAACAAGTTATACCCGGTATTCAAATTGACACTTTTTGTTTGCTTCAGTATATAATTTAATAATGCTTCAAATCCGAAGAAAATCCCCAAAATCTGAGCAGCATCCTCTGTTTTTTCAGCAGGGGACGCAACTTCTCTGATAGCTAGTTTCTGGTTAAATCAAGTTCGTCGATGGTCGTGGGCAAAAATCTTTGCATAGCATGCAAGAGGCCGAGGCTTAAATTTTGGTTGATCCTTTTTTTTTATCAATAACTAAATGATAATATTTTGCATCTGAAATGAAATTATGACGTGTATAGTACGTATGGCGTGTACAAAACATTATTTTTGTGTGATAAGTATTTTATATTAACAGAATCTTTTTACATGTATACAGATTTAAAGAACAAGCAGTCAATTTTTTTATATTGACTTTTTTTATTTGCTTCAGTACATTCTGCAAATTCGGGAAAGGGGGGGGGATCGACCCCCATAAGATTTTTACTACCTTTAAACTTAACTGTCGTCAAATCTTTAAATTATTTCCCTGTGATTGTCATTTAAATTTGTTTAAATTTAGCATACCAATTAGCTGGATTGATTCTTTGTTTCCGTGCTATTTTAATGCATCGCTCAATCAAAACTGCAGACTTTAAAAATTCATTTACATAAATGCCTATAGCTACCTAATACAAACAGATCAACAGATCATGAAGATATGGACATTTGATCTCAACACGAGTTGACAGTTCTGTTTAAATCATATCAGGTAAGGCTGATTTTAAAATTTTCCTAATGTCTTTCTAATTCAGATATCAAATATGCTAAAATAATTACGAAGGTCAAAGCAAAATATTGACTGGCTTTTCGTAATTATTCTTTTAGAGAAATTCTCATTATGGACGACGCGTTCAGCGCTCAAGATATCGTGCGATGTGACTTGTGTGAGACTCCTGTCCCTGTAGTGTGCTGCGACTTCTGTCATATCAATCTATGTAAGGCCTGTGTAGGAGAGCATCTCTCTGATTTATCTAAAGAACATAAAATGGTTTCATTCAAACTGCGGGGATCTACTCCAAATATTCCAATTTGCTCCACACATCTAGAGAAGCACTGTGACTTCCATTGTGAGAAATGTGACATTCCTGTGTGTTCTAATTGTGTATCAGACAAACATAAAGGACATCCCTTTCTGAACATTATTGAACATTTTAATGCAAAAAAAGAAGAAGTGAAAAACGACATTAAAGAATTAGAAACAAAATTACATCCTAAATATGAAGAAATTGCAACAGTTCTAGATGAAGAAAAATCCATTCTTGACGTAGAGTATAGGAAACTGACAACAGCTGTCATTAAACAAGGAGATGACTGGCACAAAGAAATTAACATCATTGTCAACAAACAGAAATCTGAAATTGATGAGATGAAAAATAAACACCTGGCATGTATAAATAAACAGGAAAATGAAATCAAGGGAATTATTTCTGAAGTTAAACAGTGCTTACTCAAAATGAAAAAAATTCTTGACTCTGATGATGTCACCATAACCTCTGCATACAAATCTAGAAATGCTAAATTCAGAACTCTCCCGCCTAAAATCAATGTAACATTACCAAGTTTCTCTCCTCAAATGATCTATACAGAAGAGCTCTATGAAATGTTTGGTTCTCTTTCAGCATTATCCATGATAACAGACAAACATGGCTACACAATGAAGACGCCGGAAGCTCCTATCAAATTGAATCTTGATGATTGGGAGATCAACGCCACCATAAAAACAGGGCATGATAGACTATATAACGTTACTTGTCTCAGTGATGAAAAAATCTGGACATGTGGAGCTGACCCAATCATGAAATTGTACAATATGCAGGGCAAACTACTGAAGTCAATCCAAACCAAATCAAGGAACATACCACGTGATGTAGCAGTGACAGGAAGTGGAGATCTAGTTTATACTGACAGTGATACAAGAACTGTAAACATAGTTAAGAATGAACAGATACAGGAAGTGATCAGACTACGGGGGTGGAGACCTTACTATGTCTGTAGTACCTCCTCTGGTGACCTCCTGGTTACCATGGTCAGTGATGATGATAACCAATCAAAAGTTGTTCGTTACTCAAGCTTCAAACAGATACAAACCATTCAGTTTGACAGTGAAGGTAAACCTCTGTATTCATCTGGTGGCCCTCAATACATCAGTGAGAACAGAAACATGCACATCTGTCTGGCAGACAGTAAAGCAGGTGCAGTAGTGGTAGTTAATCAAATAGGACGGCTTCAATTTAAGTACAGCGGTCTCTATAACCAAGGGATCATTTCATCCATGCGGCATTACAACAGAGAGCCATGCTAAGATTCTGGTATCCGACCATAAAAACAACTGTATCCACATCCTAGACCAACACGGAAAGTTCCTCTGTTTTATCATGTTTATTGGTAACTGCAATTTACTCGAGCCCTGGGGTTTATGTATAAACACCAGAGATAACTTATTTGTTGCTGAGTTGAATGGTAAAGTGAAGAAATTAAAATACATGTAAACAATATATTAACTTAAGGAATAAAATCTGGATACATGCATAGTTTGAGTTTCTGTCAAAAATCAATGTGAAATATTTAAGCTCTATGATAGAGGAGTTGTAGAAGTTAGTTGAGAATACAAGCACTCATTAGCTGTACAAATGCAAACGTAAAACCAACTGGTGCCAATTCACCAATGAATTGCTTGATTTAAGGTAGATCGCGGGTTTGCTGACGTCACAATTTGATTCGACGTAAAAGCTTACTACGTTTACAGTATCAAACTACAAACAAGCAAAAAGTATTTCCATCAGTATGCATCATAAAATAAAACAAACATTAAAGCTTGTTTTGTTTGTAAAAATATTTATTTATAATGCAATAAAAAATAAAGGATTAATTTATAGCTAATCAATACTAAATCAAATTAAGAGTAAATATAAAGTTAAAATATGAAAGGTCAAAATTGATTCAAATAACATGACTCCGTGTTTCATTGAAAAAAAAGTGTGACAATTTAGGTAAATTATGACAATGTTTACATGAATATTTATTGTCAATCAATGAAAAATTGAAAATGCGGATAAAACAATTTTCATTTTCAGTGAATTGTTGATTACATTGTGATTCTGAGACGTACGTAAATAATGACGTCGCACTAACGTTATTATGACGGCGTATTCGTGCCATTTAAACAATGTAGAAATATTTTTTTAAATCGTTTGAACGATTTAATAAATCGTTTGTACAGTTTAATAAATCGTTTGTACGATTTAGTAAATCGTTTGTACGATTTAATAAATCGTTTGTACGATTTAGTAAATCGTTTGTACGATTTAGTAAATCGTTTGTACAATTTAATAAATCGTTTGTACGATTTAATTTAGTAAATCGTACAAACGATTTATTAAATCGTACAAACGATTTAGTAAATCGTACAAACGATTTATTAAAAATCGTACAAACGATTTGTTAAATCGTACAAACGATTTGTTAAATCGTACAAACGATTTAGTAAATCGTACAAACGATTTAGTAAATCGTACAAACGATTTAGTAAATCGTACAAACGATTTAGTAAATCGTACAAACGATTTAGTAAATCGTACAAACGATTTAATAAAAAATTCTACATTGTTAAAATGGCACGAATACGCCGTCGTACGTTATATAACGTCTTAATGAAATTATATACCTTTGTTACAAATTTGTAAAACTTTAAAGTTTTTTTGCGAGAAAATGAGCGAGAATACTTATTATTTTTTTTTAATTGATCGATTCGAAATTTATCTCACATTCATCGTTTTGAGTAATATAAAATTCGTCTGCGCCGTTTTTATATTATAAGCATGGTTTTGAAATGCGTTTACCGGTGAGAAAGGCGCATTTACTATATATTTCATTGTAATAGCGTCACCAGATCTCATCAACATTAGTGCTTTTGAAAGGCGATAACAATATAACCACGCAGACGAATCTCACAAAAATTTCAGAAAGTAAAATTTGAATCGAGAGGATTAAGTTGACAAATTTTCGGAGTATGTTTTCAGGCAGACAGTAAACCCGCGATCTACCTTAAACGTTTTTATTGTAATCCAAATGCAATTGCAAAGGGATTTGACACAAGTTCTGAAAACTTAAAAAGTTTTTTTTTTCTATACATGTAAATTATAAGTTTAAATTGTCACAATTAACCAAGACTTTCTAAAGTATACTGCATTTGCTTAAGTTAAAAAAAGGTACATTTTGCAAATATATAAATACATACTCTGGTGTATTTTCTTTTTATCAAATGCATATAATCGTACACGTTCACTTATTAACAGGGAGATCTACGAGAATGCCTGAACAAGAGAAAAGCGACGAATTTAAGTTCAATAACCCTATAAACCCCCGAAAATAAGAATCCTGAAGAGCTTATCTCGGTGTTGGTTTTTTTTTTGGATAAGCCTTCTTTAAAATCAATATGCTTTGACATTTTTAATGTTGTTAATTTTTTAAGATAAAAATTTGAGTATTATTCAATAATAAAGGCGCTGCAAGGCGGAGCATCTCACAGGAAAGAGCGTATCTATAAGTGAAAACATTGATCACGATGCAAATTACGTAATTTCCGTTTTGCACAGAACAAACCTTCTCACAAAAACAAACACGAAGTGCTATAATCTATCCCCCCAACCCCTTGCGACGTCATAGCAAAGCAGATTTAACAACAAATTTAAAGGATTTTGATTACTTGCTAATGTTTTACTTTCAATTACTGTAACCTTGAGATTGTATATACAGCTCAGCGCACTTTTTAAATTCACATGGTTTTCGGACAAATTAAGGTCACATTGTAATAATGTAAAATTGTGTAACATGACAACAAGAAGTATCTTTAAAATGATTTATAACTTAATTTTGATCATATTCCATTAATTTAAAAATAATTATTGGAAGGATTTTATATACTCTTGGATGATATATTTCCAAATGTATTTTTTTTTCTTGGTTTCTCGTCAAATGCAACCATCTTTGTATCCGTTGATTTTAAAGCATACTTTTGTCTTGCCTTAATACAGAATCAGTGCAGTTCATATAGCTTCTGTATTTAATATACATTTATATGACACTAAAGCGCAAGATGGAAGAAGTATTTCTCATCTGTTTGACTCGTTTACATGTTAAAAGATGGCATTTTTCAGGTTAACTTTCCGAAATCTAGCATCATGAAAGATACCTTCCAACACAAAATGTCAAAGTTTCAGACAATAATTGTAAAAGAATTTTCTTACTATGTTGAAAGATAAACAATACTTTATTATCCCATCCGTTCACATAATTACATGTATGTATTTTTGTCATTTTTCGGCGCTACTTTTCTACCAGGGATGGGGTCGATTACTTTCAAAAGTAATCGATTAAATTACAATTACTTTGGATTTTAAAAGTAATCGATTACAAGCTGATTACAGGCATTTTTTAAAGTAATCAATTACATCTGATTACTTTTCCTTCATGTAATCATGATTACTTATGATTACTTTAGATTACATTAAGTTTTTTTTTTGTTTAATATTCAAGGACAACGGCATGTTTTTATTCATCTTTCTTTAAATATCATTAATATTTTAAGGTTGAATTCAGACAAAGTTTGGTTGTATATGTCTTTATTTAGATATATGTGATTTATATTATATCACTTGATTTCTATCTTTTATACAAGTAAATATCTTGTTATTGTTGAGAGAAATAGAAAAAAAAAATTATTATAGTTTTTTTATAAATCAAACTGAACATAATTATAATTAAGGATAAAGGGATTCGATAGGGAACTGTTACACAAGTAATTGACCTTCTTGACGAGTGATAGACTTTTCAATTAAACTGCCACTTATTAGATATTTTTACAAGAATTAATACATTGACTGGACAAACATGGATAGTTCAATAATTACTATTACCCAAGCTGACCCAACTTTAGTATATCTGTGTCTTAATTAATTAATTAATTCACATTATCTTTTCATGTACACTGTTAATCAAACAAAGTGAATTTTAGAATATGTCTCAATAAAGGAACATTTTCTATTTAAAAAAATACAAGTTTTTTTTTCCAAAGAATTACAGAGAAAACAAATTGTTGCATTACACACATGTTCATTAAATTTGAAACAAAATAAATCAAACTTTAAAATGATCCTGTAGTAATTTTCTATCAGTATATGCATATATCTTGTCAAATATAGTGAATTCCTAATTAAGCTGCTAAAGTATTTTGAAAAGAATACCAAATATAGCAAGGAACTGATAGAATTTACTCATTGCCTGGACAATGGACTGGAGACATTAGAAGAAGAAAATTAAATATAGGTTATTATACAAATATGGACTCAATGTAGGTCAATATGCATTTATAATGACCCAGGATGACAGATATTGACCGAAGATACATGTAGTATATCGACCGAGGGCGCTAGCCCGAGGTCGATATACTTCATGTATCTGAGGTCAATATCTGTCTTCCTGGGTCATTATAAATGCATATTGACCGTGCATTGAGTCCATATTGATTATATTATATAAATAATAATTTCCAAATTTTTTTAGTACCATGTTAATCTTCCTTATGTTTACAGAGATAGTATTAACCATAAATAAGTTGAATGTATATGTTTCAGAATTCATTGAATATCACTCAGAGGAAATTGTTTCGGTAATAAATTTTTAACCATATCATAATAATAACGCAATATATCTATCTCCGAATAACACAGAATACCCCCTCCCCCAAATTGAGAATCGCACTCATTTACACTTGCAGAGGAAATGCACTCACAAAATATAAATACCTATTTCTTCGAAGATAAGATACAATCTTACATGGCATGCTTGTATTTATTTTCTTTAGTCTCCGTAATCAGCGTCAAAACTCTGCTCGCCGAGTGAGTGGAAAAGTCGAACTCAACCATGAAAGGGTATGTGCTAAGTATTCCCGAAAAATGTTGACAGATATGCTTGTAATTGTTTTGTATTATCAGCCTCGGAGTTCTTCACTATGTCTTTTAAATTTTTCTTACCTACAACTGAACTTGCGAACTTTCATGTTTGTCTAAAGCGAAAGTGAAAACGAGGCAGCTCGTGCGAGTCATTATTCGCTTTCAGCGGTCGTTATTAAAAAATAAGTACTTCGTATTAACCAATCAGATTATCGGATTTCACAAAGTTATATAATATAATTTTATAACTTTTTTCAATAAACAATTTTATACACTGAAAAATATTAACTGGAAATCATCTAAAATCATGAATTTATGAACTTTGTTTTCAAAATTGTAATCATAAAGTAAT